TCTCTACCTACCTTCTTCCTACACAATCTCCTTTCCCTTGGAACTACTTGCTCTTACTGTGCAACATGGAAGGAAGGGAGAGATTCTGAAGAATCACCATAGTAGTATTTCCATCAAACAATTATGTAGATCACATAATGCATGCAATACAAGCCAAAGTGGAACACAACCTAGCAAGCTATGCAGTTAAGTATTTATGTGCAAATGACAAATAGACAAGCTAAGATATAATAATGTGCAAATAAATTGACAAAGAGTGCCCCATGTCTATTAGCTACATGTGGCCACGGCTAAAATCACTCATGCAAAGAAATAAGGATTACATGTTCTTATGATTTAAAAATAGTAATATGGCATAAATAGACATGCAGTAATCATACACAAGTGTAAGGTAGGAAAGAACTACATGAATTTCCTTGCTCCAAATCAAACTTGACCTTCTTCTTGAGCTTCCTCCTCGATGACTTACACAAATATCAAAACCTATTAGATGTAAGGGTAGGTTACCACTTGATCTAATTACAATCCACGAAATTGAATAACTTTCTTAGTTTTTGATTTTCTTTAATCTCTACCCTTAATTAACTATTGGTCATCTTTAACAAAAGTATTAAATTAATTATTATAATTAAGGACAATTGTTGTGTCCCATTTACCATACCAGCCTCACTTTTATCAAGCGGTTGCTTGTCATGGAAAAATAAAAAGTATATACATGCAGTATAGTACCCACAAATCACTTTACAATTCTTAAGTATTCATATTATTGTTCAAATTCTTACTTTACTATTTCTACATTCATTTCTGACTTATTTCTTTTATAACCTTTTGAAGCTGCAATTTTAATCACAATAACCCTTTCTCTCAAGATTAATTAATCAACTTGCACTTTGCCTTTATCTCCTTACACTTTAAAACTCCTAATTACTTAGAATATTTATACTTTAATTTACTTGAACATCCTATTAATATAATCACAATAATCTTTTCAATCCCAAGGCAGCAATCGAATTAAACTTTAAATTCAATCGTTCAATTTCTAAAGCTTCCAATTCTAACTATCATGTAACTACCAACCTATTTTCTTATACTTCCATCTCTCAAGTTCATTGAAACCATCTAGCACAATAGACTTTATTTATTCTTAGCTATCAAGCATTAACTAAGTTTTCATTAATCATTTCTAAATTCATTTGGTAAATCTCTAACTTCTTCCTTAGTTTAAAACTTCATTTTTAATCCTCTCACAAAACGTCTAACAATAGTTTCAATTCTATTTTCATCATCCTTTCTAGTATTTAATATCTAAACACATACTTAAATCACTTATGCTTTTCCACTCCCATAAATCCTTAAAGTTAAATCTGGAAAGTTTTTCAAATTTAAGATTAATTCTTAAAGCTTCCTCCTATTAGCAATCAACTTAAACTTCATATTCCTAAACTTACATCCCAACTTCTAAACTTAATTTTCGTTGACCTATGATTTAACCTCTTAAAATTTGGCTTTCATATCATTGACATCTCCCTGATGTATACCTTCGAAATAATTTCCAAACACCATAACTATTAATCTAACCATTTAAAATTCCCATCCATACCATTTGGATAGCTCAAGAAAATATCAAACCATAAATTTCAAATCAATCTCAGCTATCCTTTCTATCCTCAAATGTTTTACGCATTTAACAATCTTCTAAAAATGTAGACATCATTTCTAATCTAATCTAGAAATTTCCAACTTTAATCACCATTTTTTCAGATTTAATAAAATTTTCTCCTAAAGATATTAAAAGCTTACTTCAACAAAATTTCGTTCTTAATAACTACCTTGCATCTTTAACCATACTTTAACCATCAACATAATATTTTCAAACTTGATTTAACCACTGAACAAATTATTGAGCTTTTAGCCACATAAACAGCAACTTAATTTAATTCAAACTTAACCATCTAATATCTAAAGCTCCCAAGATTACTTATTACGTCACCCACACGCCTACACACACACACATCTTGATCCTCTAAATGTCATACAACTCTATGATATAAGTCCATTAGCTTTTGGGTACCACTCTCTCCTTGAAAATTCGGACAGCCCCCACTGAACAAATCTGGTTTTTTTTTTTTTTTGCCCCAGATTTGGGAGTATAGATTCACATATTAACGCTCTGTTTTAACTTCAGAAAAAACTGAATAGCATGCCATCAGTCAAAGTTTCAGATTCGAAATACAAGAATTTATATCAGAAACTACAAGCTTGGATCATTATACTTCACTTTTACAAGCTATACCCGAAGCCAACAACTTGCAGAAATAACCACCTCTGCTTGGTAAACCCAAAAACAGAGCAACAACCATACATGCGAACCCACAACTCACACAATCAAGCATCTTCCAAACCCTTACACCGTTGAAAACTCATTTTCAACACAACCCAAAATTATTAATCCCTCATCATCTACTCCAAAATGTAGAAAATGAAGGAAATAAGGGTAGGAGAGTGTTAATTGGCTTTACCTCAATCTAAAACAAGGGTTGCATGAAAGAGTCTGGCCTCCGATCATCCTTCTCCTTCTTCTTCTTCCTCGCAGCTTCACTCTGTTCTCTCATTTTCTCTCTAGTCCTCTGAGTTTGCATGTGAAAATGAGAAGGATGAGGTGTATGTTGGCGCTTTATGAGGGTGACAGCATCGGAAAAGACCATTGTACGCTTCTCATCTTTCCTTGTTTTTATTTTCATCATTCAATTCCTCTAGTTTTTCTGAAACTATAAAATAAATCTAGAAATTATTCCATAATATTTTATATATGGATTTTATTTCTCCATTAGCTTCTTTGGTCCACAAAATAATCAATTTCGGGTCAAAAATCAATTTTTAACTTTTTTTTTTAATTTTTAAGAAAATAGCCTTTAATTTTAAAAATTAATACTTAATTCATTTTAAGTATTTTATATTTCAATTAACCTCTTTATCTCATAAAATAATTATCCTAAAAATCTTAACTCAAAAGTAATTCTCTAACTATTTTTTTCCTTGAATTTTCAAAAAAGTAGGTCTTCTTAATTCCCGAAATTAACTTTAAAATTATTTAAACTACTTTTTGGGTAATAAACTTTTTCATAAAATTTTTAAGTCTTTAAAATTATCATTTCATGATTTTCCCCAATTCTCATAGGCATTAAATAATTTTGGATAATTTCTTCTCCTAGTTCACCTTATGTTTGAAAATTTGGGATGTTACAGTGTAATACTATCTCTGGTTCTTAATATAAAAGCTCGTTTAATTTTTATTTTGGTCCTAAATATAATATCTAATCCATTTTGATAGTCCTTTTAATAATGGTCGTTCTAGCCAGTATACTTGATTAGCAAGGATATTTGAAGAAAGACAATATCTATTTATTACAAATAACTAACTTAATTAATTTTCTTAATATACTCAAATTCATTAACTAGCTCTTATATTAAAGATCAGAAGTAGTATTAATTACAGGGTTAGTGTTTGGTATGATTTTTGAGAAAGGTGCAATGAGCTATTTGTTAATAATTATTAAAATTAATGTGTAAGAAAAAGACCATTATATCCTTTAAACGGCACAGTTCTCTGGTATAAAGCAAAAGACTGGCGAACTCAAAACCGTCACTGTTATGTCTCCTTTGCAATGTTCAAATCCAAACCCATGTTTCAACAATCAAGGTTCCATCAAATAATTGCTTACGAAACTGGGATGAAGATTTTTCCGATGATGATGTACTTTTTTCTTTTTTTTTGGTTACAGATCATCACCCTAGTTTTGATCATTTGAATATTAACCCCTATCTATTCCCAGATGTACCTCTCCAGCACAATTAGTTTGCGAAAAACGAGCAAAGAAAGGAGCCCTTTTGAAAAATATCTTGAATCAAAGTCTACTCCTAGTTCCTCAACTCTCCTTCCTTCATTGTCTCTTCTGCCTACCCCACCATTGCCATATTCATCACGCCCAATGCCTCAATCAATGGCTCAACTTTCCTCTCCTCTCAATTTCCTTCCGCCAGTCCCTTCAACCGATGACATCCTCTATGGGACTCGTCTACTTCCGGGTGAATCATCTGACTTGCTCGATTTCAGGGTTGCAAGAGTTTGTGATTACAAGTTACAGGAGATTTGGGTTTTTCTGGGGGTGTGTTAGAGAAAGTACCAAAAAGAAAAAAATTAGAGAATAAATTTAGGTGATATTTGTTTGATGAGGACAAATGTGGTCTTTTCACCTTGGCCATCGAGGACAAAGTTGACATTTTATAAAAGATTGCATATGTACAATGAGCATTAATCATAAAGGTTCTCATAGGAATAGATACTACTAAAAAATATGCAATTTTTTTTTTTAACCAGTGCAATCGTTTTTATCGTCAATAGGTCCAACCAAACATGCTGCTCATGGTTATGCGATAAAGATTATTATTGCACACCCACAGTAGAGTTAAACCAAACGCACCCTTGGTTAAAATTAGAGGATTCCATCTACACTTGAGTTAAAACAAACTTATGGGGAGGTCCTTTCAAATTTTTAGTTATGCACAATTTTTTACGTTTTGGGCTATATGAAAAATCATTCTATTTTATTTATTACCCAATGTGCAAGAGACATGAGCATATTAATCAAAAGATGAAAAGACTATTGGGGCTTTGATATGATAAACTGTTGACTCGTGATTCAGCATGCATTTTCGCCCAATCAAATGATCAAATGACTAATCCAATTTAGAAAACATTGAGCGCGCAATAAAAACATATTTTAACCTTACAAATTTAAGAGAGTTTAATATCAACTTTTTTAAACAAAAAAAAAACTTAAATAGATATATAAACAATTCAAAGTTATATAAAAATTAAAGCTTCTACAAGATTCAAGAAAGTCATATATATATATATATATATATATATAAGTTTCCATTTCCACCTTTGGCTCCAAGATCCTCCATTATTGCTCAAGCCACATTTTCTTCCACCTAAAATGAATTCCTTTCTCTCCCCCACTCCATACATTCCCAACCGCATTCCTGACCCCTTGTACGTTAGAATACTTGACACCACCCTCCGCGACGGTGAGCAATCCGCCGGAGCTTCCCTGAACTCGAAGCAGAAGCTCGAGATAGCACGGCAGCTCGCAAAGCTTGGTGTTGACGTCATCGATGCCGGATTCCCTGCCTCTTCAAAAGATGACTTCCATGCCGTGAAGATCATAGCTCAAGAGGTTGGCAACGCCGTCGCTGACGACGGGTACGTGCCGGCGATATCCGCGGCTTGCAGGTGTACCGAGAATGATATTAGGAGTGCATGGGAGGCTGTGAAGTATGCGAAGAGGCCGAGGATTCAGACGTTCATAGCGACCAGTGGGATTCATATGAAGTATAAGTTGAAAAAGACGAAGGAAGAAGTCATTGAGACTGGCCGGAGAATGGTAGAGTTTGCTCGGAGTTTAGGCTGTGAAGATGTAGGGTTTTGTGCAGAAGATGCTGCCAGGTTTTTTCTTCCTTCTTTTGTTTTCTTGAATTAAGAATCCGTAAAAACTAATCAATGTCAAGAAATAAAATTCATTTTAAAAATTTGTTTTCAATTACTCTGAATAAAATCTGAAGAAAGTTGTTAAATTTGGAATATTTTCGTAAGAGTTAGAACTTGAAAAAGACATTAATTATAGATATTTTCCTATGTATCATAGTTATAAAAAATACAGCTTGCTATAATTGTTTTTGTTAAATAACGATATTATTTTTTGGATAAATATAACGATATTTATTAAACATATGAATATTATAAATTAAAACTTTATTTTCATCGAACTTAATGCAAGGGTAAGTGAGAATCATATTCCTCATTATAATATTCGAAAAGTTGAGTGGTAACAATAAATTAAAATATAATGATAATTTTTTGACTCTTGGCTATTTATTGGGATTTTTCAAATTTAAATTTCTGCAGCAGAAATTTGGCATTAGTCCTGCGAGTCTTTAAAACGTCATTTTCCGTTTGTCTTTTGGTCTTTTTCAAGCTTCGTTTCTTTCCATCATATTTAATCACCAGCGCCTTCAGATCATATATAATTTTTATTAAAAAAAAAGTCATGTATAATAAAGAGGAATTATTATTAGATGTGTGTGTGTATATACTCCTCTTATCACTCATTTCAAATATGTCTTGCCAGAACTCAAAAAAAAAAATCTTAAACCTCATTAATTCTACCTTAAAATTTAACAATTTTATAACGTTATTCCTATTTAATGTCTACACTTTTAAACAAAAAACAATCTATACAATAATAAATGAATAATAGAATAATACATTCATTTTAAAAATTTAATAGAGTGACTCGTAAATAAATAGGACAGAAAACTATATCTCTCCGCCTTATATACACAGGACCAGAAAATTACATGTCTGTGTGTGTGTGTGTGTGTGTAATCTTATTGTTCATTGGTATTAAATTTATGTGAGCAGGTCGAAGAGGGAGTTTCTTTATGAAATATTCGGAGAAGTAATAAAGGCAGGAGCAACGACGGTGATCGTAGCAGACACAGTGGGAATAAGTATGCCAAGTGAATATGGCAAATTAATTGCTGCCATCAAAGCCAATACTCCTGGAATTCAAAATGCCATTATTGCTTCCCATTGCCACAATGATCTTGGCCTCGCCACTGCTAATACCATAGAGGTATATATATGGATACACGTATTCATGTATAAGAAAGCTAAATATAATTAAGTAATAAAGGGGATTCACATTTGGACCTTAGCATGATGTTGACAAATATTTATATAGTAATTAAACGACACGGATTTATATGGCGAGATGCAATATTGATTGTTCATGTGACCGAAAGTTGACAAATGTGAGAAATCATAAATGGCGAAGATCACATCAAGATGAGCATCGAATATGAACTCTTATAAAAAGTACGAGGAGAGAGAAAGAGAGAGGTTGGTTATTACTTAGATAACTAATCAATACATACATTAAAAAAATTAACTAAGTTAGTTATTTATAAAAACAAAAAAATACATGTTGGTTTGTTTTTTGAATACTTTTTTAGCCATTTCAATTTGTAAATAACAATGGTATGCCTTTTATGTGTAGTTTTATTCTTTCCTACCATATATAGTTAGCTCTTGAGATAATAAGTTTAGTTCTTTTATTGATAGAGAGATCAACCAATTCCTTTCCTTTTATATTATAGTAGAATCCATTAATATGATAAATGTTAAGTAATTGGCTTTAAAATTTTCTACCATAATAATCTTTATTGTTTGTGCTTTAATTCTTTATTACCATGGTATGGTCCAACCCTTTTAATAAGTGCAACCAACAGAGATTCTTAAAAAACAAATTATAAATTTAGAGGGCAAAAAGAATTGGAGTCTTATATTTAGATCTAAAATAAACCCCTCCACTACTTCCTCCTACATTAAGACTAGAAGAGTAGTTTAATTTCTTTCTTTGCTTTGTATTAGCTAAAAAAATTACATTTTGACTCCAAAACTCACATTAAGAAAGATGCCAGAATCTAAAGTCATCATGTAGTCATGTGATTAGAAAACTGTTGCCTATTCATATCTTAGGCAACATTTATAGCAAAGTAACTGCTGTGTTATATGGGCAAAGAATGTTGTAGTGAAGGTATGACTCATATCTCTTTCTTTCTCCTCACCGCACAATCTAATTTATTTCAAAGGACGTGAATATATTTACGTCACTTATATATATATATATATATATATATATGTATGTATGTATGTATGTATGTATGTAAGTATGTATATTCTCTCATGGAACAAATTAAAATTTCACTTAATATTATCTAATGCTGGTTGTTTTCAGGGTGCATGTGGTGGCGCAAGGCAATTGGAAGTAACAATTAATGGGATTGGTGAAAGGGCTGGTAATGCATCCTTAGAAGAGGTGAATAAATCTTCATCTTGTTTATTCTATTCCCGCTAGTTCCAAATATAAAAGTTAAATGACTAATTTATAGAGATTAAAATTAAAAAATAGTTTAGATAGTTATTTTTTAAAAAATGGGGTTTAGTTTTCCTTTCATTTTTTTTCATCTTGTATATTCTATTCCTGCTAGTTCCAAATATAAAAGTTAAATGACTAATTTACAGAGATTAAAATTAAAAAATAGTTTAGATAGTTATTTTTTTTAAAAAAAAAAGAGGTTTAGTTTTCCTTTAATTTTAATTATTTATGTTGGAAACTTTCCCTTTAATAGAAAACTCCTTAATATATGTGCAATCAATAAGGAAAGTTTAGAAACAAAAAAGTTGTATGTTTGAAAGACAAAGTAAGTTGAAATTGAAGTTTTATATACTAGCTAGGACAAAATTTAGAATCAGAGGGAGTATGTGATTTGAAATGCTGGACGAATTTTTCTGAATTATTTGAAGATGGATTACATACAACAAAGTTGGAAAAAGTTATTAGGAGTTATTGGGATGGATTCTTCGTCCATTAACTTCATTTTTTCGGATGTCTGCACTAAAAAGTCTTGTATTTTTTTCTTAGTTACATATATAGACGAATTCACATTCACACAACAAGTACTACAATATGAAATTGACTGACATGCTTCAGAAGAGTTCAGATGTAGTTAGATTTCAGTTGAAAGAAAATTAGGGGAGTTTTAAAAATTGAAAAAGAAGAATTGCCGAGTGTATTGTTGAGCTGATGATTTGTTGGAAAAGATTTTAGGCATTTAAATTTATATATTTATGTTATTTTGTTATATCTAATCATTTTTTAAAAAAATTTATATGTTAGAAAATAATTTCATTCTATATATGCTCTTTTTTAATCTAAGACAAATAAATAAAACTTTTGAGTAAATACGTATGTTTATTTTAAATTGTCCAAGTAAAATCTGTGCATTGCACAACTGTATATGGTTGGTAGAAATTTTCTATTTCTCCTCAATCATATTGTATGCTATAGATCAGCATCAGAATAATATCCAAGAATACTTAATAATAGTTTCACTACTTTGTCCCTTTATACTTTTTCTTTAAATAAATCAGAATTGTCCTTTTAGACTTTGATAAAGCACAAAATTCCAATATCTTGTTGAAATTCAATTCCAGGTCAAGAATAAGTAACAAGGGGCACAATTTTGGCCGTTTGACAATAATGAAAGCTCGAGTAAATTAATTGGATCTGTCTTGAATTTAATGACATCAGACAAAATTATTTTTTCATTCTTGAAAACTATACATATTTTTCAAAAAAAAAAATCAATACTTTCCTTTAATTAAGTGCAAATTTGCCCAATTTATTTCTTTTTCTCTTAAGGTTGTAATGATCTTGAAATGTGGAGCGTATCATGTGCTTGGCGGACTCTATTCAAGGATCAATACTCGACAAATATTTACCACAAGCAAAATGGTTTGATATTTAAAAATATAGTATTTTAATTTTATGTTTTTTTCCTTTTAGTGATGTTTATATAATATGCTGTGTTTATTTTCATAATAATTTTCGACAGGTTGAAGAGTATACTGGGTTGCATGTACAGCCAAACAAGGCACTTGTAGGGGCTAATGCGTTTTCTCACGAAAGTGGGATTCACCAGGTTGGTCTAAAATATCTTGCAAGTTGCAACTGACCATTAGGGTTAATTTTAATTACGCGAAGTTAATTTTCGGAAATATTTAATTACGTATAGATAAATTCCATGACATATAATGTCCTGTGAGCTGTGAGATAATAGATTAATTAAAGGGTTTAATTAAAACATCGCTGTTAATGTAGTTTGAAAAAATGATATGTATTGTTTTGCTAATATATGTTGATTTAGATGTAGGATTATTATTTCACCCTAATTTACACATTATGAAGATTTTGAATTAATTATATATTTTCTCTTGCACAATAAAAGGGATTGACAGTAAGATCTTTTTTTTGGTTGAAAAATCATATTATTTTATAAAATTTAAATCTTGCTAATGAAATATGTACACAAAATTTCTATAAATGAGGCTCCCAATAGATTTTATATCCTACATCGATGAACTAAATTAATAGGAATACATCTAGCTTTTTAAATAATACTGAATTGCCAATCACACACAACCCAACTTCATAGACTTTAAATCCCATCCCTTGTCTCTTAATTGAATCAAGCTTAGGGTTAGGGTTTGTCATGGTGTTTGTTTGCTCTTTGCCTCTCTATTACTTTGTCTCTAGTTTTGGTGCGATGGGCTTTGCTGTGTTGTTTGTCGATTTTTGTGCCTTTCCTTTTTTTTTTTTTTTTGTTATTTAGGCTTGACTTTTTTGTGCTTTTATAAACATTTGGTTTTTATAATATATAATATACAAAGCCCTAAAAACATAAGCGGCTTTCATTTCTCATTGCTTTTTTCAAGGGATTCATGACATTGTTTTTAACCCTTCGTTATGGAATATAAAATTCATAACAACTCAGTTATTCATAAGTCATCAATGCGGCATATAATGATAAGTTCCAATGTAAGAAAGAACAACAAATTCACGTTGCTCATGTTAACTGCATTCCTTTCTTGCAAGTTTGTAGCGATTTTTTTGGGGTACTTTTTGACCCCTCATGCAATTAATTTAAACATTAATTGTATGTAGATTATTCTTTCATACAGACGCACGTACCCACTTTATATATAGACATTATGCAATTAATTTACGCACTTCTTTAGTTTGTAGTATAAGTCATTTTCTTCCAACTAATCAGCCTAACTGGTAAACTTAATGATTATAATTTATTCTATTTAATTATTATTTTTCTACCTAAAATAAATAAATTTAGATTATCATATTTATAACCATTATATGTCAGATCTTAGTTTTGTGTTTTTGTAGGATGGAATGCTAAAATATAAAGGTACATATGAAATCATATGTCCCGAGGATGTTGGGTTTGAAAGAGCCGACGAAGATGGAATTGTATTGGGGAAGCTTAGGTGGGCTTTTATAAATTTCAGTTTCCTGCTATCTTCATATCTTACTTGAATAATTCAAAATTAATTTTCTAATTTCTTTTGATTTTTTTTTGAAAAAATAAGTTTGAAATGCCTAGAGTTTATTTATTTTTATACATTTTCTTCTCTCCTGCCATTATATTCTTTTTTAATCATGTTCTATATTTGTTCTATGATAATTTTTTAGGTTTTTTTTCCTGAAAAAAATCTGTCTCAGATTCAATCTACCGTCTGACATTTTAATTTATTTGTATCTTTCAATTTTTTTTGGTCATTATATCAATTTATATGTAATTAGAGAATTTGACATAGTTGATATGAAAAAAACTTGACTTAAATATTCTCCTTAATAAATGGTTAAATTGACAATGTATTTCTTTTTAATCTTGACCTTCCTGCTAACTGAATTTTGCATCTGCCCTTATCATTTTATGAATTTACATTCTTCCAATATATGTGACACATTCCATGACTAGACAGGAGAATATTGAATTAATTGTTTCATGATTTTGTTAATATTTGTTTCATTTCCTTTGTCCAACCTAGACGTTTACCCTAATATGATATATATATATATATATATATATATAAGGTTTCATTTTGTTCTTTAATTTTATAAAAGGGCCTTTTAAATCTTATAATCCTAGTAGTTCCATCAACCAAAAATGCCATCTGAAATTTTAATTGCTGATAAAATATTCACAAATATTCATATATTAAGTTTAGTTTTTAAAATAACAATTATTGATATAAAAATGTATTACTCCTCCGGTCCTAATATAAATTAAACTACAAAATTAGTCTTATATTTAGGATGGGAGGAGTATTTGAAACTAATAGTGTTAGGGTTAAAGGACTGAAAACATACTTTATAAAATTGAGAGATCAAACTTAATTGTTATATAAAGGTAAAAGGCAAAAAGGTGAATTTTTGTTTTTAATTATCTTCTCTTAGCATACACTTACGCTTCTTTTGACGCAGTGGACGTCATGGCTTGAGAAAGCGACTTGAAGAGGTCTGGATGGGTCTATGTAGTTGCATATTTTGTGTGTTTGTGTGCGTGTGTTCTATTATCATAAATATAGTGTCACTAGAGTTTTATTCTCTATTATTTCAGATGGGTTACGAGCTTGAAGATGAGCAAATTGATGCCATGTTTTGGAGTTTTAAAGCATTGGCTGAGCGAAAAAAGGTAAATAATAGCTACTCATGCATCTAAGGGTGCTTTGAATTAAACCTGCGAGTATAAGAATTAATGCAAAAGAAGTTATTGCTTAATTAATTAAGAAGGAACACATTGATTTTCAATGTATGAAACATTTTGTTTAGCAGTCTAATAAGAAGTATAAGCATATTCATTAAATTTACATTGAACCCATTAAAGTTATAATTTTTCCGATAATTCATGACACCACTACAAAAAGAAACTTTTAAACGACAATAATTCACGTTGGTTTTGAAGAAATTAAAAATGCCATAAAAAAGGCAATGGCAATTTTTTATAAATATTTGGTGATAAATTTCACTTTTCACAGCAATTGTTTAGAAAACTGCAATTACAAAGGGATGACATTAGCAAAAGAAACCCTTCAACTTATTAAAATATCTCACAAGACAAGCACTTATATAAATAAACATTAACATACATGAGTGAAACCAACTTTTGCATTCATATTGAACCTTCTCATCATTTCAACCACAGCACTCTGCAATACAAATGCTTATTTCCTACTCTTATTAAGTCATTTTCTAGCTTCTTATGCTTCGAAAACTCCATTTTTTCCATACTTTATTAAGTTCATATAATATACTCAATTAGTTCTGAAATCATACTCAAAAACACTTATATAAGTAACCAACTTTATTTTTTCCCAACAGCCATTTTGTTAAACCTTCAACACTTCAACCTTTTAAGTAGTGGTTGGTTGGAATTTCTGGAGGATATGGCCCTCTCCTACCATGCCCACCTAAAATGGGTTTTTCAATGAAGATAATTAAGAGAGAAAATATTTATTAACTAATTTTCCATTATCATATTATAAAAATCCCAAACTACCCTTAATATTATAAAATATGTCTTATCTCCACTCTCCTATAATAAAATGAATTTTATTATCTGATAAAATCAAATATATAATTATAATATTGGTATATAGGTTCTTAATGAAAAGATATGATCAATAAGTTGCAAGTGTTGACATTCTTAAAATAAGGAATTAATGAATTATATATAATATAACTATTTATTCTAATACTAAATCAACGCAAAAGAATAAAAAGAGAAAACAAGTTAAATATGATAGTGGTAAAATTGTCAGCATATTACTAGTTCCCATTCCCTTCTCCCCTGACCCAAACAAAGGTTCACTAAAATCCATCACCCATCCCACTCCCTCTCTTTCACTCTGAACCAAACACACCAAAGTAACTTCCAAATTATTAAGAAACTCATTCCAAATAATGCTATGAAAATATGGATTATTTACCACCAGTCTAACCTATTCACACCCCTACATCTTAATTTCTCGAAGTCTCATTGCTCGTCACATATTATGTCACCATTTGCATGTGTAACTATGAAATCTAATAAATATTTCCACTGCAACATTAAAGTATGATAAAAAATATGCTCGCAAGGGTCGCATTCCTAGTTGTTTTGTTCTATATGATTATCTTTCGCTATAATTGATAAATAAAGTTAATGCCTCATGTAAGAGAGATAATCTTATATAGGCTGGATGAACTTGTAATTACTTGCAGCAACCCAGTATAGTTTCATACAGTTATGATTATTTACAAATTCTCTTGTCATTTGAGGGGATGGTAAGGCAAGGAGAAGAGGTGAGATGCTAGTATTTTACTACTCTAGTCCTTAAATATAAGATCTAGATTGTACAAATTAGATCAAAAATTAAGGACTAGAGATAGTCTTCAGGTGAGTTTAGGTAAAGTGAGAATGTGTTATGTGCAATTATGGGCCACAAATTAGTGAAACTTGCATTTGAGAAGGCCCCTCTGTCTATTTTCCTACTTACTTCACCTAAAGTCATATTTAGGACTCACACCTCTCTCCCTCTTTTCCTTCCTTACTATGCCAACACAATGTACCTAAAACTTACAATTATTTTCCTTGATAGCTCCTAGCTTATCTATTTATGCATGCTCTCTTTTTCACTTTGTTGAAAAACATTTTTCTTCCAATTATCGCATGATGACCCTAATGTCTTCTGTCCTCAGAGAGTTTCCGATGCTGACCTCAAGGCATTGGTATCGAATGGAGTTTCTCAGACAAAGCATTAGAGAACCATCAAATCAAATATTTATGGCGATTTTGCAATGAATTTGCTTTTGTGTTTGTGTGGGTGCGGCTTGTTGTTTCTACATATTTATGACCTAAAAAGGGATGGTGGTTGTCATTTGAAAAAACACAATTACTATTGTGTTTTTGCATGAGTTATGTCATTACTATATATTGTGATTTATGGTTAAGGACGTAAAGAGTCCAATATTAGAAAAATTTATTTATTTAAACAGTATAGACGTAGAGGAAACATATCAACTACAAGGAAGTTGACGTCACTGATCTAATTTTACGTAAGAGATACAAAATATACTACATGCAAAATTGACATTTGCAACATCTTACTATAAGAAAATTTAGATAAGTTGAATCATAAAAAATCGACAAAATTAAGACGAATTTGATCACAAAAGTACTTATAAACTAACTATTAATGAGATCTTTCACACTAAAAGGGAGATTCAAACCTTTCTTGCGGAGCAAGAGTACATATAACAACCATAAAATGTTATATCTGACTTTTTAAAATAAAGGCTAAATGTGAAAATAAAGATTAGTTATATGTCAAATGAAATAGTATGAGTACAAATGAGATAAGGTATGAGGTTGCATCCAGGTTGACGCAGAAGCGCAACGTTTAAAAGTTTCAAGCCTGGAAGAATATTTTTGAAAAATATGCCTACAGTTTCAAAACAAATCCAAGAAATTCACAAAAAAGTATAGAACTATTCTGGACAGTATTTGAGGCTCAAGTGTGGTACAAATGAGGGAAACATTCCAAGCGAAATTTATTTAATTTTCAGAATTTTGGCTTAATTAAGAGAATTAATCAAAATTAATTATTTGAATTATCAAGAGGCCTCAAATAGTTGGAAATAAATTTGCACGAATCATTTCAAATTAGACTAAATTTGTAAAAAAAAAATTTTTTTATGACCTAGAAATGTGAATTTTGATTTAAATAATATTTTAAGTGATTTTATCTAAATTTCTTGAAAATTAAAAAAAAACGCCAAGTTTTGACTTGTGAAAAATTTGGAAATTACTTTATATTAAATTCATATTTTTGTTGGTCTTGCTTTAATTATATATATGTGCAAGGAAGCCACCAAAATATTATTTTTCTTATGGACGGGGATTTGAAACAATAATTCAATATGGTTAAAACTTGAATAAAGCCATCTAACTTTAATTTCCCAAGACCATATCATTTGGAGGGTTACCCATGGAAATAGAGAGAGAGGGAGACTAAGAGTGTGAGCTAGGGGTAGAGGAGGAGGAAGAAGAGAGAAGGAAGAAAGGGAAGAACAAGCATTAATCTTGCACTGTAGGGAATTTCCTATCCCTAATTCATACCCGAGCTTTGTTTTCTTGCTTTTTTTTTTGTGTGGCCAAAAAAGCTTTGTTTTCTTGTTAGAAACTTGTTTTAATGCTTTAACCCCCTCAAAAGAGTTGCTAGTATCATACCTCTCTTATATACATATTACAAAGCATTTACGACAACTTTGGACTCACTTTGATTCATTTCATCAAAACAGACTTCATGAACAATTTAACCATTTTAAATTTAATTTTGATTATTATTCATTTACTAATCTTTATTTAGTGAAATCTGAAAGTTATTACTAATTCTAGAAACATTATATAAAAATTGACTTTCAATAGAAGCCTTTTGTTACTACTAAACTATCATTGCCAAAAAGTTTCTACCTTACTGGTTGTCGCTTGAAGTTTCAACAATAAGAAAAAAAGTTGCTTTTGAATGACACTTTCAGCAGTGGCAGTTTGTTGTCACGCTGAAAGACCCTTTCAGTAGCGATAGTTTGTTGTTGCTAAAAGTGTCACTAAAGAAAAATAAGCCTCACCACTCACCAAATGCTACATCACTACCACTTCACCCCCCTTTTGCCATCTCATTGCCATGTCGCCACCTTGCAACCATGTCATCCAAAAATATTAGGGACAATTTCACTGTAGGACCACAAAAGACAATTAATCTCAAAGAGCCCCCAAAACTTTCTGAAACCTCACTGCAGGACCAAGGGGCCAATCTGATATTAATTCTACAAACGAAATGACGCCACTACCCTTAGCATCAGGTGAATCAGTCCACATGTGAACGGACTGATTCCACGTGTGAATATATGTATTTCTTATGCAAATTGGCTAGTTCCCCTTGCAAATGCGATCTCCCGCACTTGTTCCCTCACGGACACATGCTTCAGGTGAACCAGTTCACATGTGAACGGACTGATTCCACGTGTGAATATATGTATTTATTCTGCAAATTGGCTAGTTCCCCTTACAAACGCGCTCTCCTGCATTTGTTCCCTCACGAACGCATGCATCAGGTGAACCAGTCCACATGTGAACGGACTGATTCCACGTGTGAATATATGAATTTATTCTGCAAATTGGCTAGTTCCCCTTGCAAATGCGCTCTCCCGCACTTGTTCCCTCATAGACACATGCTTCAGCTGAACCAGTCCACATGTGAACGGACTGATTCCACATGTGAATATATGTATTTATTCTGCAAATTGGCTAGTTTCCCTTGCAAATGCGCTCTCCCGCACTTGTTCCCTCAAGGAAATAAGTTTCTAGTAGGGGCAGTGGTGTCATTTTGTTTGTGGAATTAATATCAGATTGGCCCCTTGGTCCTGCAGTGAGGTTTTAGAAAGTTTTGGGGGCTCTTTGAGATTAATTGTCTTCTGCGGTCCTAAATATTATCAATTCAGATGTGTCTTCTTAAAGTTTGAGCTCATAACCACCTACTTTTGCATCCAATCTTTTTGCCATTGTCTGGAATGAATCTCCTGATTATTATTCTAAAACTAAATATATATATATATATAGGGTTAATAGAATTTTTAGTACCTCAAGTTTGTCATCATTTTATGTTGCTTCCTTAAATTTCAAACTATAAGTTTTGGTCTCTCAAATTTCTTTTTATTTAAAACATTGGTCCCTATAACTTCATAAAAACCTAAACCATTTTGCCCTTTGAGGGACTAAAACCTATGTTTTGAAACGTGGAAGACCAAAACCAAAATGAGAACAAATTTAAGGGACCAAAGATTATGTTAATCTATATATATTATATGTGTGTGTGTGTGTATTATTTACCTATACTTTCAATGGCAATAAATAAGTCGTTGGTGAAGGTATACTTTCAGTAGCGATTTTTTAAATAACTTTAAATCTCTTAAAATACTTTAAATAGGATTCATGTTCTTGCTCGATCATTTGGCATAGCAATGCAACCGTTAACTTAAAATTCCACAATTTTTGCATCAACTTCAAAAATTCAAAAAAAAAATCCAAACATACATCACTACCGAAAAAAAAGGTTTTTAACGGCGGTTATTAGTAGTTTTTCATGGCAGTTTTGAAAGTGAAATTGATATAGTTGACGTTGAAAGGTTTACAAAACACGACAGTTATGTAAAAAAATGCCATGGAAAGTTTGATTTCCACGGCAGTTATTAACAAAACTACAGTGGAAAGTTTAACTTTCAACGGCGATTTATTAATAACCGTCGTTATAGTGTTCTTTTCCACGGTGGTTTTTCACATAACTGCCGTGGAAAAGAGTTTTAAAGGCGGTTATTTAAATAACCGCTGTTAAAATTTATTTATTTATTTTTAAAACATTCTGCGTTATTTTCTATTTTATCACCCTACAGTTTACAGTTCCAAATAAATATAGGTAGTGCAGAATACATAGAACAAAACCATATGAACAATTAATCAATTAGCTAGTTAATATATACAGCAAGCATTGAAATTTCTTTTAACATAGGCACAAAGCAATAATAGAGAACCAAGAGAACTTAGAGGAACCTAAGACCAAAGTATAGGAACACGTATAGGAACCAAGAGAACTAGCATCTTGAAAGAAAAGTAACAATTTCTGTCTGTACAATATAAATAACGAACATGTATAGGAGGGAACCAAGAGAAAATTTCTAACAATGAATTTTTTTGACAAATGACCTAACTATTTGAAAGTTTCAATATTCTATAACAATGTTGTTGACAAAGTGTCCCTCATCAAATTGATGTCATCCATGGGATATGGCGTAGCATTTTGAAATATCAGTTAATAAAAAATAACATAGTGAACTTAATCAAAAATGTGAAATGAATTGAAGAATGTCATGCAATGTAACTTATCTTTACCTAGTCTAATTTCTCAATCACCTCTATCTCAATGATGTCATTCATGCAGCGGATGACATAATATCCACATTCAACATGCCCTTGTTGACAACGATACTAACAAAATGAAATACAAAATTGAATATTAGACATTGATTATAAGCATTAACTTTAATTCATCTAAAAAGGTTTAAAAGTATATATTTAGCTCAAAACAACATACTTTTGAGAGAATCCATGTTGGTGGTTGTCTATTTTGTTTAATCGCCATAACATTAAAAATATGAAAAGCCCTATCAACAGTATAAAAGAAAATGATATTAGAGCATGTTTTTATAAACTTCACATGTAATAAATATATAAACATAAACTAATGTGTCGATGATATCTTTGGTTTCTTTAGATGGACTTCCACCGAGGGAATCGAACCAGTAAATTTTGTTATCAAAAGGGGCACAAACAATTAGAGTCCAATGATAATTGCAAAACACAAACCATGTTAATTCTAATCCTATACATACAACTTGTGTATCTCAAATACAATAATACACTTATCCTTCCATGTAAGGTGCCAAATATATTGGCTTTTTGGTCTGAGTCATTATGGTGATCATGTAGATCGACCTCACTTCCACAGTATTAAGCTCTTTCTACACCCTTTGAGGACACATAAAACCATATGTTCCTTCAAGTCCTCCGTTCTGACAGATTTGAGTAAAGTGCATGTTGTTCAAATAAGAAACATTAGGACATGTATAAAGTATAACATGAAATAAGAAAATGATATTGTAACTTACAAAATAGCGAGCTACATGAAGACTATATCCAGCTCCTCAAA